AATAATAGCACATACAGATTCTTAAATAATAACATTTTAGGTTTTTTATAGTTCTTGTGTGCAAAATGAGGTTGCTGTGAGAAATACATGAATGCATACATCTAGAATTGCTCTCGAAATCTCTAGTAATGGCAAACTTCTTTATTTCTCTTTGTAGTTTTATCCATTTTTGAAGTCTATCTTGAGGTATTTTTATATAGAGCTTATAAATCTAAAATTATTTCTTCTTGGTAAATGAATTCTTTATCATAAAAATTACTTCCTATTTACCTAGTAATGCTTTTCACCTGTTATTCTATTTTTCCCCTTGATATTAATGCAGCTGTATCAATTAGCTTTCTTTTGCCCAGTAGTTACATAGTATATAATTTTTACCATTCTTTAACTTTCAAATTTTCTGTATTCTTATGTTTTAGATGAATATCTTGAATGGAATATAGTTGGATTTAACCAAATTCACCTTGAAAACCTTGCTCTTAAATTAGAGCATTTAGTCCATTTACATTTAATGTAATTACTGATACACATTAGTGATAGAAACATTTAACAACTAACTCTTAGGGTACTTTGTAGAGGTTGCAGTTCTCACAAATGACCATGAGAGGGCGACTCCAGGGGATGCACAGGCATTTAAGACCTTGAAGGGACAGGAGGAACCAGGCATTTGCTCTCTGGGGTTCCACCACTGCTTCTGAGGTTCGCCCCTGCAATGTCTGGATATCTTCTCGCCAGAGGAGGAACAAGGATATGGGCCGGGGCACAGGAGTGTGGTGGACTGGGGGACGCAAGAGCAGTCCCATGGACGTGCCTATTAGAGGGAGGAGGGTGGCTGAAGGCGCTCAGTGGGCTCAAGGCAGTGGCTATTTACCAACGTGCATAGGAACATTTCAACATTTTAATAACCAGTAGTGCTGTAAAAGCAATTCAGAATGGCATCAGCCCTTATGATATATTTGGGTTTAAATCAACCATCTTACTTTGTGTTATTTATAACACCTGTTCTGTGTTGGGTTTTCCTCTCCTTTCTTGCCTGCTTTTATTATTTCTTTTTTCCCCTCTCTTATAGTTTTGAAGTACATTGTTTCTATTTTTTAAATAATTACCATAAAAGTTATCTCATGCATCTTTAACTTTTCAAAGCCTGTTTTTAATCAATACATTTACTTTCTTCCCTGACAGCACAAGAACCCTAGAACACGTTCATTCCATTTACCCCCAGTCCCTACTAACTTAATGTTGTGTATTTTAATCCTTCACATTTTTTTAAATCCATAAGAGATTATTTTTATTGTCTTTGATAGATGTTCATTAACATTTACCACCTTCTTGGTTCTTCATATCTTCTTGCAACTCTATGTTAATATGGGATCATTTTCTTTTTGCTTAAAGTATATATACTTTACAATTTCCCTTAGTGAGGGTCTTCTCTTTGTCTGGTAATGTTTTTATTTTGCCATCATTTATAAAAGATGTTTGCCTGAGAATAGGATTATAGGTTGGCAATTAATTTCTTTCAGCACCCCAAAGATGTTCTTCTACCACTGCTCTCAGGAAGCTGTCAGTCTGTTACCCCAATAAAAGTACAAATGCTCCTTGACTTACTATAGGGCTGCGTCCCTATAAACCTACTCTAAGTTGAAAATATCAGAAGTTGAAAATGTATTTAATCACCTAAACTACTGAACATCATACCTTAGCCTAGGCTACCTTAAATGTGATCAGAACACTAACATTAGCCTACAGTTGGGCAAAATCATCTAACAGAAAGCCTATTTTATAATAAAGTGTTGAATATCTCATGTAATTTATGGATGTTCTACTGAATGTGTCTTGCTTTTGAATCATTGTAAAGTTGAAAAATCTAAGTCAAACCATTGTAAATCAGGGACTGTCTATAATCTGCCTTTTTTCCTAATTTTTTAAACTTTCATCTATTTATTTAGGCAAAATATACATACATAATTTATCATCTTTACCATTTTAAGTGTACTTTTAAGATATTTTTCTTCATCTTTCTAAAGTTACTAAAGTTTCTAAAGTTATTGTGTCTTGGTGTAGGATTATTTTTGTAATTCTACTTGAAGGTTGTTGCACTTCTGTTTTTGGTGGTTTGGTATCTTTCTGAAAGGATCATGTGCTTAAATACTGTCTCTGCTATAATCTCTTTTACCTCTCTTTTTAAGACTCTGATGAAATAGATGTTAGACCTTCTCCCAGGACCTAACCATCTCTTCTTTTTCTCCCTGTGCTTCATTCAGGATAATTTCTTCAGCTCTACCTTTAACTTCATTAACACCTTTTCAGCTGTATCTAATGTGCTGTTAAACACAACACATCCAGTAATTTTGGTTATTGTGGTTTTCATTTCTAGTTTTTTTTTTTTAAATGGTTATGTTACTTTTTATAGTTTCCTGTTCCCTGAAGATATATTCAAACCTGATTTTTTAACCTGATATGTATAGTTTTTAAAAAAATAATCTGTCTAATAACTGCAATATCTGATATCTCTGAGGTTCTATTTCTATTGTCTATTGTTCCTGTTTCTTCTAATTCATAATGTCTATGCCTGGTTATCTTTGACTATGTGCTAGCTATTATACAAAAAATTATTCAAAGAATTATTTGAAGCCTAAGAAGAAAGTGCCTTCCTCTACAGAGGACTGGCTTTTATTTCTGGCCTGTGTGGCAGCACCATAAACCAAGTTCAATGCTTGAGGTTCCCTGAAAGGCCTAAGTTGTTCAAACCGCAATTCAAGGGGCAATTACTCACGAGGGCTCACCTACTTTTAATTCATGTACTTAAAGGTATAGTCTTTTGGGGGCTTAGATTATGGGGAGGGTTCACCATTACCCTCCCTATTCTGAGTGGCCTGGTGTTGATTTCTCTTGCCCTTGTCCCCATGAGGCTGTCAAAACTGCTTCATTCACAGAGGCTGTTCAAATTAGGCTGACCCAGCAAATACGCTCAGGATACAGTGGCTTCTGTACCCATTTCTCCCTCTGGGTTTCCACTTCCCATCCTTCTCTTCCTGTTAATTCTTTACTGTCACGCCAACTCTTTGAAGGCTTTTGATGATTATAATTATTTAAAGTCAGTTTTTAAGTAGTTTTCAGTGGAAACGTTGGTCCAAAGGATGAGCCCACCATGGCTGGAAATAGGAAGCCACATAATGTGTTTCTTGGCCCAGAACTCAGTAACGATGGCTGAGTTAGTTGAATTATTATAACTGACTTCATTTGCAGAGGCTGTTTCCTGCTCTTAGAACGCATTTCGCATTCTGTGTCCCCAGTCCGAGAGTGCCCACGTTCTACCATTGGACAAGGCTCAGAACAAAACACCCATTTTCCCTACTTCCCCAAATCTGAATCCTATCTCTTCCCTCTCGAAACCCTCACAAGCCTACTGTGCACCATTCTCCAGGTACTTAGCTAGATAGAAGTGTAGTGATGCACATACTTATCTCTCCTGTGGACTTACACATTCTCATCACTTCTGGCATCTGGAGAATCCCCTCACTTGTCTCCAGTCCAGCAAACATACATCATAAACAGATTTTTTGAAAATATTACATCTAGTACTTTTACGTCTGATGTAGTAATACTTGGAGGGGATTCTATGAACACTTAGCTGCATATTGCTGGAAGCAGGATTTTGTTCATTCTAGTAAACGCTTACATGTGTGCAGCACGTTAGAGTCAACGGGGTGCTCTCACATCCATGAGCATCTGTAAATGTTGGTAGCCTCTGACTGCAGTGTTGCTACCATCAAGCTGCGGATGCGAAACACAGATAACACACCTGAATAGAGCCACAAAGCCAGACAAGGAACCCAAGTCTTTCCTCTCCAAGCCCAGGGCTCATCCCAGGGCATCACAGTTGCTGTTCCACATTATTTGTGCCACTCGTCATTTCTATGGCAACGACACCCGAACTCTTGGGAAGCAGACATTACGTACATGGAGGCACACGGCGCAGGAGTTGAGTCATAGTCAGTGGACGGAGGGGTGGGCCATGTGAGGTTTCCCGTGCACACCTGCACCTCAGCCCTGCTTACCTCACAACCTTGGTCCCATTCCTCACGACCTGCATGTCCACCATGCAGCCCCCCGTCACGTAGGCAGCAAGGTTCAGCTCTGAGAACTCGGCCTGGGGGAAACAAAACGGAAAAGGATTCAGCAAATACTGATGGTGCTAACGACTGCTGACATTTATTGGAACTTGCTTGTGCTAGACACACACTTAGAATTCCCCTCAAACTTAGGAACTTGGTAATGTTATTTTTATCTCCCTTTTTGAAAGATGAGGAGGTTGGGGTGCTGAAAGGCCTGGTGACATGTCCAAGACAACACAACTAATAAAAGACAAAATTGGATAGAAATTCATGTATCCCCTACCAATTTCTGCCTCCTTGAACGTCCTTGAAGAGGAGGAAGAAGCAACTCTAGCTCCATAACCATAAGATGCCAAATGCTGTTCAATATAACCTTTTCTCTAGATTGTTAAAGCTTCCTGCTTTGCAGTGGTAAGGCATCGTGGTTGTATCATTACTTATCTCTAGCAACAAAACCCTATTCAGGTTGTCTACCCAATATCCTTTTTTTTTTGGCAATAGCTGCTCCCCTTGCTCCATCCATATAGTTACAGTAGGATTGATCCAGAACTATGTTTGTACATTGAGATACTGCCCTTTAGGTCACCATTGATGGGGCGGGCATCTGACCCAGGGTGGTGGAATAAGATGACCATCCCTGAGGATTCAAGATTGCTGAGTGGTTTATGCAGTTTCTCTCTAGGTGGCTGTATCTTTATTGCACAAACCTGGATGCTATTTGGGACCGTATTTTCTGCCATTTGCACTGGAAAGGCACAGAAAACCAGGGGAGAGAGAGAGAGAGAGAGAGAGAGAGAGAGAGAGAGAGAGAGAGAGAGAGAGAGAGAGAGAGAGAGACATTTCATCTGTTTTACAGCCGCTCCCCATCACTCGCATCACCACATAAGCTCTGCCTCCTGTTAGATCAGCCACAGCATTAGACTCCCATCGGAGCATGAACTCTACTGTAAACTGCGCATGCGAGGAATCTAGGTTGCAGGTTCCTTTTGAGAATCGAATGCCTGATGATCTGAGGTGGAGCTGAGGAGGTGATGCTAGCGCTGGGGAGTGGCTGCAAATACAGGTTGTCATTAGCAGAGAGGTTTGACTGCACAATAAATGTAATATGTGTGCATCACCCCAAAACCATCTCCCCCCGGTCTGTGGAAAGATTGTCTTCTGTGAAAACTGGTCCCTGGTGCCAAAAAGGTTGGGGACCGCTGCTATAGAATACATCTCCCTTAGCAGATTATATGCTCCCTGGAGATAGAGATTCCTGGTTACCGCCATCTACGTTAGCTTCGTAGGGCTGCTAGGACAAAGTGCCACCACTGGCTGGCTTAAATGGCAGAAATTTATTCTCTGTAGTCCTGGAGGCTAGAAGTCCAAAATCAAGGTGCTGGTTTGGTTGGTTCCATCTGAGGTTTGTGAGGGAAGGCTCTGTTCCAGACTCTCTCCTTGGCTTGTAGATGGTCATCTGCTCCCCATGTCTCTTCTCATTGTCTTCCTTTTACGCATATCTCGGTACCCAAAGTTCCCCTTCTTATAAGGACAGAAGCCACATAGGACACCCTCACTTTGACAACCTCACTTTAACTTAATTATCTCTTCACATTCTGAGGCACTCTGAATATGAATTTTGGAGGGTGGGTGACAAGTCACCCTGTAATACCATCATCTTAAGTGCATAGCACCAAACTTTGCCTTATACACAGCAGACGCCAAAAGTGATTTCTTTGGATTTGATGAATAAACATAGCCGCTCACATATACAAACCACGTGTGCCAGGTACTGGCCTAAGCATTTTGCACGCATGAATCATTTAATCCCCACACTTATCCAGATGAGAAAACTGAGGCAGTGAAAGACCAAATAACTTTCACAGTGTCAATACAGCTGAACCCGTATTCAAACCCAGGCAGTGCGGCTCTGGGGCCTGGGCTTCTAGCTGGTGCAATCCACTGCCTCCGCCACCCAGCTGAATGAAGCATTCGGTGGATTATAACTGGGAAGTTTAGAGACCTAAAAATAACCCATTTAAAGAGAAAAATAAGTCTAGATTGAAGGGAAATATCATTTCATGGTGATTTAAATGTATCCTCTTGGAGTCATTTAACAGGAATTACGACCCAACACCGAGCCATCTCCCCAGATGGCATTAAAGCATAAGTACCAGAGTACTTATGTCTCTTGCTCTAATTAATAACCTCATTATGCTGTGGCAAAGTGGAAAGAAAAGATCACTGTTAATGAGTCCAGGTTGGTAAATAGTGGTAATGACCTAGTTATTAAGTCTAATGGCTTAAAAATTCAGTCCCATCATGTTCAAGATACTTAATTGGCAAGATCACAAAGAAGAATTAAGAAGAGAAGTTGTTGCTTGTGTGTGCAGAGAAAAAGAATTTAGAAGAAACTTGCAAAACAGGATATCTGGTCACCAAATATGTGCAGAAAGGGAGTGAAATGGAATCTTGGAAGGTAGAATCTTCAACTCAAAAGTGGCAAATACCCAGGGGCTGTCTTGCTGTCGGAAGGGAAAGAGAGATACCTGGAGAGAGGACACACCCAGGCTCGGTTATACAAGTTAGAGGTTCGTCTTGTTTGGATCTGGGTGTCTAGAGCTATTTCTTGGTGATGGTTTATGAAAACTTACAGGAGTTAAATGCTTGGGTTGCAGGGTAGCAAGCCCCTGTTGGATGGAGCACAGAGAGTTGGGATATCAAAGAAAAAGGGCACTCTTCTGTATTTAACTTTCTAAAAACTTCAACAACCATGAAAATGAACACAGAGGTATCCAAACCACTTCTTCGAGACAGCTTGATGGCCCTCCTGGTAGAATATTAAGGAGCAGCTATTTTGGAAGAATCTAGAGCTCCCACAGAAACTGTAGTGAATCGAATTGTATCCCAAAAAGACATGTCCAAGTACTAAACCCTGATACCTGTAAATGGAAAACAGGGTCTTTTCAGATATAACTAAGTTAAGGATGTTGAGATGAGATTACCCTGGACTAGACTGACCCCTAAATGTAATGACAATTCCTTAGAAAAGAGAAGAAAGGAAAACAGAAAGACAGAAAAGAAGGCCACGTGAAGATGGCGGCAGAGATTGGAATTATGAAGCCATAAGCCAAGAAAATCACTAACACAAGAAAGTTACAGGAGTCTCTAGAAGCTAAAGGAATCAAAGAAGAATTCCTCCCTAGAGCCTCCCAAGAGGGTGCAGCCCTGCTAAAACCTCGATTTAAGATATCTGGCCCCCAGAACTGTGAGAGAATAAATTGTTGTTTTAAGCCACTAAGTTTATGGTAATTTGTTATGGCAGCCCAGGAAATTAATACACTAACTTTGGGAATTGAATGTAATTTCAGTATTACATGCAAAGTCATCAGGGCTCAAAGAAGGTCAATGTGGTCAGGTAAGGCTCCTTCATCCACTTCACCAAGCACATCACAGGCACATAGAAATATGCACACACATTCTCTCTCTCTCTCTCTGTAATAAATTAGCTATTCACCTATATCATAAAACACTATTATCAGAGTTACTTACATTTTTTCCATGAGTTAAGCTTTTGACCACAAAATTATTTTGGTCCCAACTGTTTTTGATGTGATATCTTTTTAAACACCACACATTAGTCATTGTAGCATGAATAAATGAGTACTCAGAGAGACCACATTCAAATGTAAGCTGCTCAATACAATGGGTTTAGTTAAGTTACCAAATGCTTTGAATCCTAGTTTTAACATCTCTAAAATGGAGATAATGATATCAATACTATCTACCTTTAAAAGTTTGTGTGAAGATTCAAGATAATGTGTATGAAACATCTAGCATGGGGCTGAGACATAAGAGGCGGACCTCTGTAAGTAGTTGCTACCATTATTTTCAAATATTTAATTGTCTTAGTAAGAGTAAACTGAAAACAGCAAAAATGGTGTAACCAGGAAAAGAGCAACCTCTTTAAGTATTCATAACATATATATTTAAAAAAATATTGAGGCACAAAATACAGAATAAGGACTTCTGCTTATGGCCACAAGGAAGTACTAGAAATGATATTTACACTCTCATCTTAAATGACAAGAAAACCAGACAAACTATATTAAGTATCAGTTTTCAGACATTAGACAATAGGCATTTCAGGACTGTGATTCCTGCAAACAGGAAGCGAACAAAATTATCCCTATGATTATCCTAGCTTACTGCCTGGAGGCAGTTTTGAGGCAGCAAAGCAGTGGAAGAATACAAACAGAGCTCATCAGTTTCACTGAGGTGAGGATACAGAGATTGAGGTTCAGGGAGCCATGGCGGCTAAGATTTGCAGGACAGAGTATAGGAAAAGATGGAGCTGCACAGAAAACAAAACAAACAAACAAAAAACAACCTCCAGGGAGACCTGTAAGTCTTTGGAACAGTACTAATCTTAACATTCATGAAAGGAACTATTCAAGGCCAGGAAAAGAATCATCAGAAAATAGTAGGCTCAGTCATCTCCAGAACCCGCACAAGGCTGGGGGATAGTTCATGTTCTTACCAGCTAGAGTATAATCTTATATTACGAGTAGGGTACTCAAAATTTAGTAGTGGGACTAAATTATCCCTGGACTAAAGCATGCTCTGGATCTAGGATGATCAACTTGTCTTGATTTGCTCTGGGCTTTCCCAGCTTTAAAACTAAAAGTTCCACTTATGAGAAACTCTTCCATCTTACTTTTAAACTGAAACCCCATGTCTTGGGAACCTCCTTAGTTCTAGGCAAACTGGATTAATTAAACGTTCTATCTAGAATTGTGCCAAGAAAAGCTTAAAGGCAAGCTTGGAATGGATAAAGCTTATTCCAGGTAACTTAACTGTATCCCAAAACAAAGTACACCACTATTGAGAGGAATATAACAAAATGCACCACCCAACACAAAGAATTTGTAATGTAAAAGTTATGGCATTCAATCATAAATTACCAGGCATACAATGAAGCAGGAAAATATGACCCAAAATAAGGAAAAATCAATCAATAGAAACAAATCCAAAAATGAGAAAGCTGATGAAAGAG